GCTTGAGCCCAGGAGTTGGAGGTTGCTGTGAACTGTAATGCCATGGCACTCTACCCAGAGGGACAGCTTGAGGCTCTGTCTCAAACAAAAAACAAAAAACAAAAAACTCTGAACACAGGCTGAGGGAGCTTTCCTGGTTGGCAATACTTTAATGCTTTGTGCATATCATACAGTTCAAAGCTGGGAGAGGACAGGGAAGTGCCACCTTTGTACTTTCCCCCTGAGCATCTCCCCTTAGCTACATTTGATCTGTATCTTTTCCCTCTAACAAACCATAACCATGAATATAATAGTTTTCAGTGAGTTCTGTGAGTCCTCTAGTCAATTATCAGCCTAAGTATTGTTTTGGGCTCCCAAACTTGTAGTTAGTGTTGTAAGTGAGGGTGGTCATTTGTAGATAGGATTCCCTCTAACTTCCCAGCTGGCTGCTAATTGATGTTAACACATTATAATTTCAGCCAGGCATGGAGGCTCACACCTATAATCCTAGCACTCTGGGAGGCCAAGGTGGCTGGATTGCCTGAGCTCCCAGGTTCAAGACCAGCCTGAGAAAGAGGGAGATTCCATCTCTAAAAATAGCCGGGTGTTGTGTCAGGCGCCTGTAGTCCTAGCTACTCAGGAGGCTGAGGCAAGAGAATCACTTAAGCCCAAGAGTTTGAGGTTGCTGTGAGTTGTGATGCCACAGCACTCTACTAAGGGTGACAAAGTGAGACTCCGTCTCAAAAATAGTTGAGAAAATAAATTAATTAATTAACATTTTCCAGTTGTCTATTGCTTGCCCACCTTTCTTCCCCTTTGGTATTCTCTGCACTGCCAAGGAAGCTGGGCCCAGTGAGAGTTAAAACATACTTTGGCTACAGCTTCATTCCTCTCAATTCTAAAACCTCAGCAATTATCTAGTTTCTGCTTGGAAGTTGCCCAATTTAGTGTTAGTTGTGGCTTGAATAAATCCCTGATCCTCCTTCTTCTTCTTTTTTTTTTTTTTCCATTATTTGGCCGGGACCAGGTTTAAACCCACCATCTCTGGCATATGGGGCCGGCGCCCTACCCCTTGAGCCACAGGGGCCACCCTCCCTTGGTAGAGTGCTGTGGCGTCACAGCTCACAGCAACCTCAAACTCTTGAGCTCAAGTGATTCTCTTGCCTCAGCCTCCCAAGTAGGTGAGACTACAAGTGCCCACCACCACGCCCTGCTAATTTTAGAGGTGGGGTCTCCCACTGGCTTAGGCTGGTCTCAAACCGCTGAGCTCAGGTTAATCCACCCTCCTTGGCCTCCCAGAGTGCTTGGATTACAGGCGTGAGCCACCTTGCTCGGCCTACGTGACTGAAACTCTTCCCTACCTGTTAAACGATTGCCCATTTCTCCCTTCTCCCAGTCCCTGGCCTCCTAATCTATTTTCTGTCTCCATGAATTTGACTGCTCTAGGTACCTCATATAAATGCCAATAGTATCATAGTCAATGTGAAAAGTAATTAAAAAGATAAAATCATTTAGACAAAAACATGATATGTGTTTTTATGTACAAATGGGATGATGCTTTTACACACACACCAGAGCTGTTTTGCAACTCTCTTTTCTTCATTTAACATTGCAATGTAATATTGTCATTACTTATCTAATGCTTCGTAACAAATTACTCCAAACCTCAGTGACTTAAAACATTTATTATTTCATAGTTTTTGTGGAACAAGAATCTGAGTGTGGCTTTGCTGGGTCCCCTGTTTCAAGGTCTCTTCCAAGGATGCAAATCAAGTTGTTGTCTGGGCTGCAGTCATCTCATGGCTGGCTGGAGAGGATCCACTTTCACCCTCACACACATGGTTGGCTGGAAAATGCATCGTGTGCAGATCCTTTTTCTCCCAGGCTGTTGGACAGAGGGGTGCAGTTTTGCTCTACTGTTTGCTGGAGGCCAGCCTCCATTCCTGGCCACATGGACTTCTCCATGATGGTTCACAGCATGGCAACTGATTTCATCAGAAGAATCAGGCTAGAGTCGTAGTGTGAGCAGGATGAAAGTCAGCCTTTTATAGTCTGGTCTCAGAAGGGACACTCCATCACTTTTGCCATGTTCTATTCCTTAGAAGCAAGTCACTATGTCCAGCCTACACACAAAGAGAAGGGACGACACAGGGTGAATATCAGGAGGCAAGAATTAACGGTAGTGGCAGGCATTGTAGAAACTGCCTACCAGGCTCGGCACCCGTAGCACAGTGGTTATGGCACCAGCCACATGTACCAAGGCGGGTGGGTTCGAACCCAGTTTGGGCCTGCTAAACAACAATGACAACTGTAACAAAAAAAAATAGCCAGGTGTTGTGGTGGGTGCCTGTAGTCTCACTGAGGATGACATAGTGACACTCTGTGTCAAAAAAAAA